ATGTTATCGCATGTTATCGCGTGTTGTGGCCCCGCAGCCCTGTACCTGCTGTACGCGCGGCTGGAGGAGGAGTGGGGCCTGGCTGGGTGTCGTGTGTTGGTGTGTGTTGTCGCATGTTGTCGCATGTTGTCGTATGTTATCGCATGTTATCGCATGTTGTGGCGTGTTGTGGCCCCCCGCAGCCCTGTACCTGCTGTACGCGCGGCTGGAGGAGGAGTGGGGCCTGGCCCGCCACGCCATGGCCGTGTACGAGCGCGCGACGCGGGCGGTGGAGCCGGCGCAGCAGCGCGACATGTTCAACATCTACATCAAGCGCGCGGCCGAGATCTACGGCGTCACGCACACGCGCCCCATCTACCAGAAGGCCATCGAGGTGGGGAGGGGCGCGGGGAGCACGGGGGGCGGGGGAGGAGGGCGGGGAGCGCGGGGAGCGGGGGGGGGGGGGGCGGGGAGCGCGGGGAGCGAGTGGAGAAGGGGAGGAGGGTGGGGAGGGGACGAGCGAGGGGAGAAGGGAGGAGGGTGGGGAGCAGAGGAGCGAGGGGAGAAGGGGAGGAGGGTGGGGAGCGGAGGAGCGAGGGGAGAAGGGGAGGAGGGCGGGGAGGGGAGGAGCGAGGGGAGGAGGGCCGGAAGCAGGGGGATGAGGGTGGGGAGCGGGGCAGGATGGGGAGCGGGGGGAGGAGGGCAGGGAGCGTGGGGGAGAAGGGTGGGGGAGGACGGCGGGGAGCACGAGAAGGTCGGGGAGGACAGGGAGCGGGGGGAGGAACGAGATCACGGAGAGCGGGGGAGGAGGGCATGGAGCACGGGGAGCGGTGGGGGAGGAGGGCGGGGAGGACGGGATGCACCTAACCGGATCGTCGAAGGGCGGGGTGCGAGGTCGGGGGGATGCGACCCCGCGTGACCCCGCGTGACCCCGCGTGACCCCGCCGTGCCCCCCCCCCCCCCCCCCCGGCAGGTCCTCTCGGACGAGCACGCGCGCGAGATGTGCCTGCGCTTCGCCGACATGGAGTGCAAACTCGGCGAGATCGACCGCGCCCGCGCCGTGTACAGCTTCTGCTCGCAGATCTGCGACCCCCGCGTGAGGGAGCACGGGGAGCGGGGGGGGGGGGGGGGGGGGGGGGGGGGGGGGGGGGGGGG